GCATCGGAGCTGCTGAGCCAGGTGCAGCAGTTGACGGAACGCGTGACAGATGCAGGCGCAGCCGCGGAGCTGGACCGCTGCGGGGCCAGCGCTGCAGATGCCGCACAGGCACTGCTCACTGTCGCACAAGTAAGATCATTGTGCCAAGAAGGCCTATTTGAAGATTTAGTGAAACATCAATTCTGAAACTAAGCATTGTATCTTCTATCAGACAACAGCGCCAACTATCAGCGACCCTCAGTGTCAGAAGCAGGTGATGTCATCCGCACAGAAGCTGCGTCGCTGTGCCGACGAACTGATAGCCACATGCGAGCCTCACACAGCTCAGTTGCCGGATGTACGCCGACAGCTTGGCTCTTCACATCGCCAGCTTGATGACAGTCTTGCTAATTTGGTGCAGGCTTGTGTATCGGTACCACACGGTAAGGAACATTGTACAATAATTCATGTTTTGCTGTCTCGTAATGACATATTACATAGATTGATTTGTTCCCCTACTACTACTCTAGTCAAACAAGAAACTACGCATTTGATAAGGTCCAGGTAGCAGCGCCCCCTGAGAAGATTTTTTAAATCTTTTAAACTGACATCTCCAACCTTTATATGAAGAGTGGAGGGTATGATAAGCCCAGGAATGTAAACGAAGCCCGTAGTCCTGCAGTCACGGTCCGGCGGCGTTGATGTTAATTTACTATCTTTTCTTCTTTATTCCTGTTGTCATCCAAACTAACATGAGTCAGTTCATTACGCCTTTGTACATTCTTCTCTACGGAAGTTCCATATTATACTTTTCTCTTACACCATGGTAAAAAATTCTTCATACGAATCAGATTTTCATATTTGACAGATACGGAAATTAACGCTTTAACTTCTGTCGTCTGCTAAAAATGGAGAAAAGTATTTCTTTTCTACCTCTCCTACGGCATCTCATGAATGTTGCAGAAACCAACATCCTTAGTTTGACCATACTTCGAGAGTGCATTGAGTTATATTGAGTTATTGATACTTTTTGATTGTTTTATAGTATAGACAATTATTGATATACTTTACAGACGTATGGGGATATTTGGTATAGATCCCAGTTTTTATTCTTAGCACGAGTAGAATCACTTACATATTATCTAGCTTGACCTGATGTTGAGCTACAAAATAAATTGTATGATATAATCTAGGTGACGCCAGCTCAGAGCAACAAGAACAGCAACGTCTCAAGTTCATCAACAGCGCGTCTGGTGCCAAGGGTCGTTTGAATGCCACCGAACAACTGCTGAAAGAGGTCAGTTCATATCTCAGGCACTATGTATACCTATTGCTGAAGCCATACTCAGGTGTGACGTGGTGGTACAATGTAACGTTGTGTGTCGCCAGCCGTTGGTGTGTCAGCTGATGAAGGAAGAAGACGGCGCGGCGCTACAGCGCAGGCTCGGGGCGCGCGTGGCGCAGCTCAACGCTGCCGTGGCCGCGCTCACTGCTGCCACCGCAGGTCTGTGGATACTGCCGCATGTATACTGATACTCCGTAACTCGCAGATGGTACAAACTGTAACTCACGTGTTCCCGTCCGCAGACCGCGAGCACCCTGACTACGCGGCGGCAGACCAGGCCATCCAGCACATCGCTCAACTCATGCCGCAAGTGGTGCAAGGTCAGTTGGCAAACGATTCATACCACTCGATATTGTTCTGCCACTGGTCACTCGGCCAGTCAACTTCTGTCAGGTCCATCAAGAATCGTATTGTCCGCAGAGTCCCGCACGCTATGCGGCACGAAGTCAGACGCGGAGCAGGCGGCCATGTTGCAGGAGCTGCGCGCGCTGTGCGAGGCCACGCAGGAGCTGTGTGAGCACGCGGGACAGGCACAGGTTGGTGGAGCTCTGGGGGGATACTTTTGTTGTGCAAGTGTCAGAACGAATGTGATGAATGTATTCTCCTTGCTGCAGGGAGTCAGCGACGCTGCCGCCAAGTTCTCCGCAGCGTCAGGGAAGTTGGTGTATGTCGTCAGCCCCAAGACACAGGATGCTCACGAGAAACAGGTGAGTAGTTCGTTTTGGTAAGGGTTTAGTGCTGCAGCATTGGGATCTTGGCACATTGTGGGTGTCTCTGTTACAGGTGTTAACCCTGGCCGCCACCTCGTGTGGCAAGGCATCGGAGCTGCTGAGCCAGGTGCAGCAGTTGACGGACCGTATGACAGATGCAGGTGCAGCCGCGGAGCTGGACCGCTGCGGGGCCAGCGCTGCAGATGCTGCACAGGCACTGCTCACTGTCGCACAAGTAAGACCATCCTACGAAGAAAACCTTTTTTTGAATATTTAGTGAAACATCAATTCTGAAACTAAACACTGTACTTTCCATCAGACAACAGCTCCAACTATCAGCGACCCTCAGTGTCAGAAGCAGGTGATATCATCCGCACAGAAACTGCGTCGTTGTGCCGACGGACTGATAGCCACATGCGAGCCTCACACAGCTCAGTTGCCGGATGTACGCCGACAGCTTGGCTCTTCACATCGCCAGCTTGATGACAGTCTAGATAAATTGGTGCAAGTTTGCCACTCAGCTTCTGGTAAGACATGTTAACTTGTTATTCTCAGGAATAGGTACATAAGTTCTCACTCGTCTTATTAAATAAATACATTGACTAGGTGTGGTACTATCTCCTCAACAAGAGCAGCAACGCCTGAAGTTCGTGAGCTCCATATCTGGAACCCAGAGCAAGCTGGACACAGCCGAGCAACAGATGAAGAAGGTAAGCACTTTTAATGATTAGAATAATTCAGTGATACCACATACTTACATATTTTATCATCGCACCGCTCGCCATCGACAGGGGGTTCACGCTCACTCATTGGACCCAAAATGGTCCCGTACAGTTCGGTTTCAGAGGAATTTTCTCCCACGGACCCTCCGATTGTGGAATGAACTCCCTGCCGTGGTTTTCCCAGTGGGCTACAACATGAGGTTCTTCAAGAGCGCAGTGAATAGGTTTCTTAAGGGTCGGCAAGACGCATGTAATGCCCCAAGTGTTACAGGAGTACATAGGCCACGGTAACCGCTTACCATCAGGTGGGCCGTGTGCTTTTTTGCCACCGTCGTGGTATATAAAAAAAAAAATTAGTTAACCCATTTCTTATACCTTTTTACAAGCACATTTTTTCTGTCTGTTAGCCGGTTGTAGTCCAGCCGCTGCAGCAGGCAGACAGTGCCGCCCTACAGCAGCAGCTGTCCCGTCGCCTGGCGCAGCTCAACGCGGCCATTGCAGCCCTAGCGGCCGCTACCACAGGTCTGTATACCATATCACTGTCTTGCTAAACAACCCAAGTTTCGGGGAAAAGTAAAACATAAAAGTCTACTGTAGTCTGTGGACTGTGAACTATGAACTGTGGACTGTGGATTGTGGACTTTAGATTAGACTGCGTTTGATTTTTCATTTTTGATATCCGACTTTTGACTTGGACATTGTATTGGCTTGGTCTTCGAGCACTTATTTATAATTATTTATTTCTACTTGCTTTTTATTCAGATGGCAAGAACCCAGACTACCCGGCAGCAGAGCGGGCAGTCACCACAGTAATCGAGTTAATGCCAGAAATCGTTCAAGGTATGTATTCTGTGTTACAAGTATTTTGTAACGTTTTTGAACGACCAGTACAGATTCAATTTAGTACCTGCCTTTTAATTAATACTTACAGACTCCTACAAGATATGTTCTACGAAGGAGCCAGCTGAACAGGCAGCCATGATGCAGGAGCTCAGGGAACTGTGTGAAACCAGTCGCATTATTTGTGATAGTGCTGGACATCCTATTGTAAGTTCTTATTATATATACTACTTGCTTTAGATATAAGTCTACACGATTATACATTCAAACCTTCATTAAGAATCATCCTATACACAAGTAAAAATGGCTTCCAAATGTTTTAGAAGTTAATTGAGAAGTGTACTTTTCAGAAACTAAACGAGGCTACCGCAAGGCTGGCGGATGCTTCTAGTAAACTACTCCACATTGTCAGTCCTGATGGCAAACATCCAGGAGATGCTAACCGTGGTGAGTTACAGCATAAGTCACTTAACAATCATACAAATGAAATTGTAAAACTATGATATTAAGCAGTGACTCAGTTAGTGACTGACAACAGTCTTCATTCTTAAGACTCACGCCTGCAAAGCATAGAGGAGACTCATAGTTCAGCAGTAGGTTATCTGCTGCTGCTGGTATACAACATACCTACAGCCAATAATATTGGGTGTAATGTTATTCTTCGTTATACACAGGACCAAAACCAGCGGTACAGCCTCGCAAGCCGGCAGTACCAGTGCGAGACCCCAAGCATACTGTGGCTAAAGCAGTGCACTCTGGACAGGCACCTGACGCACAGAGCTTCCTTGATGCTATGCGTGCAGAGGAATCTGGTCTGTATGACTTATTACAGACGACTAAAAATTTAGGCGAATATTCTAAAAAATTTCTTTAAGCTATTCAAATGTGGATGATATTTTTTTATAGGAGGTCATATAGGAGGTCACGTCAAATCTTCGAAAACTGCTGAGGAAGAGAAGCTTGCACACAAGCAGTTCTCAGAAATGATTGAGAATGCTGAAAGGGGACTTAAATCTGCAGAGGAAGGGCTTCAAGTGGTAAGCAATTCAACCGATTCTAAACGGGAGAAGATATAGAATATTCTAACTTAAATGCAATAGTGTGTTTATTGTCCGTTTGTTTTTCTTGGCAATGGAGCGTTTAGGTTACAAAATTGTCAGTGTAGGGTTGTATCAGTGGTTGTGAAATTAAAGCCCCTTGATGTGATCTTGATTATTTATTTTTTTTCGATAGATGCAAACTTCTTTTAAAGCCTACTGTAACACTTCTCTGCATCACCTTATGGTTGGCTGGTAGAGAATGCCATTCGGCATTAAGTCCGCCATTGTATACAGTTGTAATAATAAATAAATTATTATTTATTTATTGGCAACTTCACTGTTCCATCAATTTACTATAAACTAATCAAGATAGTTGCAACTTTATGTGGAGGGATGAAAGGGACTACGTGGCTATCGCCTTTCAGACCTCCCCTAGTTGGCTAATACCAGAAGACCGCTAGGCTATAGAACTTGAGTTGGTATCGTATCGTTGTACTTAGGTTCAAAATTGGCTGCGTGGCTACCGATTTCCGATCCTCTAGCTACTATAATGATGATTAGTTCGAGCACAACTCTGCTTATAAAGCCGGATGGTTTGTATGTGTGATCAATCTTCATTATAGACGTTTGTAGTTGTGCTTGTTTTGGTTAAATTATATTAGATGGCGCTGTGTGTTAGTTACTCTAGATTTTTTTGATAATTTTTAGGCTACAGGGTTTTAAGGTTCGGGAAATGAAAGATGTGATGTTGTTTATGTTGTGATTTTACAGCTATATAAAGCAAAGAACGTGACGATAGCTGGTCAGGCCCTACCAGCTTTGGAGGTAGTTAAGAGAGAACAGCACATGGAAGATACCCTCGCGAAGGCAGGAATTGAAGTGGCTGCACTGGTTTCGGCTAATTGTAAGTGGAATGATTAATATACCTTTTCGAACGAGCAGATTATTGCGTTGTCACACAATGCTGTATACATGTATTGATCCTTGGCGTGGCTTGAAATTTTTGAGCTATACCGTTGAACAGTTGAGTAAGCCGTACAAAAGAATTTATTGTATGTATCTCGTGATGGTCATAATAAAAATAAATTGATCACAAGTTTCAGAAAGAGTAAGGTAAATGATTTTAAAACCACAATGTGTTATTTCGAAGTATAGATTGGTATATATATTGCTTATGTGAGAATTCTGAATTCGATTCCCAGGTTTTTAAAAAATCTTAGTAGTAACATGGAGTCTGGAAATGTGCCCGGTATATAGCATTAGGCTTACCTCCTATTACATGGGACTCATAACATAAATAGTGAAAAGTGGGTGTTACTTCTGTGTGCACCTCTGCCGACCCCTGCGGGTATGAAAAGCGTGATGTTATGTTAAAATTTTGTTGATTTATTTGGCACAGATGCAGACAAGCTGGACTACAAAGCTGCAATGCAACCCACTTTATCACTCACAGAATCAGTCAGGAGTGTCGTCAATGGTAAGTGGCGATGATATTGTTGAAAATGAGTTTTTTATTCACGTTTATGTTTTCCTTTAACGTGGTCCCACACTAGAATTTCTTCCTTAGTCGTAAAGGCGTTAGAAACATAATAGGTAGGTACACAAAATAATTAAAACTGCTAATATACTTAATTAAATCAATAGTCGTGATGGGTCATCACTGATCGCTTCTCGAACTTGAGGAACTTTTTCTTTGACTTAGCAATGTGACTTTTTGAAGTTATATGTACTTTCTAACATTATTTAGACACCACTGACAAACGGTGAAGGAAAACATCGTGAGGAAACCTGAACTTATAACTTCTAATAAGTTTGGAATCGCCAACCCGTAATGAGCAAGCGTGGTAATTAATGCTCGAACCTTCTTCGTGTGAGTAGAGGCTTTGCTCAGCAGTGGGAATTTATTGGCTGTTGATGATGACGATGAATTAAAACTGTTTAATTAACCTTTTAAACTGTGATCTCAATACTCGTCTGGTTGTGAAAAATTCTTCAATCCTGTATTGGTGATGATACAAAAATATTATTATCCTTGATGTATTGAAAAACTTAAGATACTGTTCAAATCTTGCAGATGGCAGCGCAATCTGCACTTCTATGTCTGATGAGGCTCGCAAGAAGTTCTTGGAGGACATGATCGGTCTCTGCCAATCGACCAAAATCCTCTGTGACACTGCAAAGTCGGAGAAGGAAGTGAGTTTTTTTTTTAAATAAACTTATAATACAGAGAAGTGAGTTGGACTGCCTCATTAGCCGAGTGGTCGCTAGTGCGACTACCGGGTAAGGGGTCTCGGGTTCGATTCCCGGGTCGGGCAAAATATTACTGGGTTTTTAAAAATCTCAGTAGTAGCACGGAGTCTGGAATTGTGCCCGGTATATGGCAATAGGCTCACCGCCTATTACATGGGACTCATAACATAAATAGTGAAAAGTGGGTGTTACATTGACAGTGGAATAATGTGCACCTCTGCCTACCCCTTCAACAACGGCAACATGACGCCTTTTATCCCCATAAAAGGCGTGATTTTATGTTATGTTATGTGTCAAGTTTATCGAAAATTCTTAGCTTCATCTTCTTGCATTGCGTCCGGTATATGGCAGCAAGCTAGCACTCTATTATATAGGACTCATAATATAATGGTACCCCATTTGTGACAGAAACTGAATGACGCGGCCATAGTGTTCGGAGATCAGTCTGTCAAACTGTTACGTGTGGTCAGCTGTAATGTGGACCCTGCTCTCGAGAAAGAGGTATGTAATATCCACCCATTATGCATTAATCATCAAACATTCATTCATTTATTATCCATCATGCTTCATCTAACATCCATCATCTATACGTAATCACTTATCATCTATCCATCTGACGGTCATTGTACTTTCAGGCGATATCGCGAGCTAAAGCAATAGGTGATGCTGCATCTAGGCTAGCTCTGGAAGCCACGAGTTTGGCTAGTAGCACTAGTGAGGCAAACAATCCCGGGACCGCGGACTCGCTAGTCCGGGATATTTGTGCTGCCGGCACTAGCTGCGTCGACTCCGCCGGGAAACTCGTTTACACTGCTAAGGTAGATGCATCTTCTTTTTACGAAGAATCTTGCAGTTAAAAAGTTATAATTATTTGATTTTCTAAGGCTTCGGTAACTCGGTGATGTTCAAATGCTGAAGTTAATCTTCGATCTTAAAAATAAGTCTTCTATTATGAAATTACTTACTCGTTTTTACAAAGGACATTGTTAAAAATGGCCTATGAATCAACACGCATGGGACTTTTGTTATAATTCTTAGTTTTTTTTTAATATTCCTGTATGAACAAAATCCTTTCTTTCACAGCTCATCGCGCCGACAATTCACCATGAAACCTGTCAGGATGCCCTGGTATCCTCAGCAGATAGTCTATCATCATCTCTCACTACCTTCACTAACACCCTGGCTCCTCTTGCCTCCACTCAGCACCCTAATGTCCAAAAACTGTTAGGAGAAGCTGGTCATCTTGAGAAACTGGTAGAAAAGTTGAGGAAAGATGTAAGGGCTGGTAAACTTGGCAAGAGGAAGGAGGTAGACCCTGTTGTGGACCTGGACTTCCCCTTGAGGAATTTGACTCAGAAGATCATTGACAATGCTAAGGTCAGTATATCAATAAATAAAATTTATATTGGCTTACAGTTTGTGTAGTAACTTAACGCGAGATACATGTTATTTTAATTTTGTACAATGGGTAAGCCATTTATGACACACGTCATTTTTCCATGAGGTAACTCATACCATTCATGGATCACTTATGGGTCCCTAGCATAACTTGAAACTCGTCGAGTTATCGGTTATGCAAACCGTGCAACTTATGTGCTTTATATCTTAACTCAATCTGCTAAATATTTCATTAATATTTCACTAATACAAAGTTTTAATTATATGTTTTACTATATATCCTAACTAATATTTCAATGTGCTTATTGATTTTATTGGCTCAAGACGTGACGTTGACAGCCTAGGATACTCTCCTGCTGTAACTGATTTGATTCTGATGGTATGTGATACGAATGTTTATGTAACTTAGTTTTTAATTACAAATAACTTTTTGTTAATTAATTCAAAATTAACTTATTTTATTATTTAGTACAATAACTACCAATTTTCATTCAGAACATGGTACGAGATGAAACTATGAGCTCGCAGACTAAGAAGGAGTACACATCTTACTGCGGCAAGCTGGAAGAGGCTCTGCGCGCTCTGGACCTGGCAAACGCGCGGTACCAACGAGCTCCTCATGTAAGTACTGACTAATAGTAAATACAAAACCTTTGACATAGGATGGATGCTTTTTTATGCGATAAGCCGATAAAGCTGACGGATCGCCTGATGGTAAGCAATTGGCACCGCCCATGGTCACCTGAAACACCAGAGGCGTTACAAGTGCGTTACCGGCCTTTTGAGGATTGAGAATTTATGGATTGTTGGTGTTGGTGTGACTGTGTAGGGGGGTAATTGGGCCTCCGGTAACCTCACACACACGACAAAACACAACGCAAGCGTTGTTTCACGTCGGTTTTCCGAGTTGGTCCATTTATGTCAGAGCAAGAGCATGTCATTAAAGTGTGGGGAGCCATGCTTCGCCATAGACTCAAACCTCCATGCCAAAGGTCGACAATACACGTGTAACTCCACTAGTATTTCGGGTGTCCATTAGCATTGCATACTATTGCATGATCCATCTGGTCGTTTGGCGCCGTATCTCGCCGTGTCACTCATGGATACGACATCCAAAAACTAGAGAAGTTAAAAGTGCATTACTTGCCTTTTGAGGGTTAGGGGATTTAAGGATTGTGGATTGGGGATTGGGACCGGGGAAGGTGGAAGGGGTAAGGCGGGAATTTGAGTCTCAATATTGACTTAATAAATTGATACCATTTTTTAGGACATAAACAAACGTGATGAGTTCGAGATGACGATCGACGAGCTGCAGATGACGGTGCTGCAGTCCAGACCTGCTAAAGTTGGACAGGAACAGAACAATATTGTGGACTTCAGGGTATGTATCCTGTACACCATATCTGTGGGGAGGAATGAGGGTAACCAATGAGTTTACCAATAGGATCGATGGTGTAGCATGAGGTCACTTGATTGTGTAGAACTTATGTACAAAATATTGTTACTGCATTGTAGGTAACTCTTTGCTAATAACCTCTTTTGTAATTCAAAATTACGCTAGAAGCGTGGCAAGATAAATGGTGGTTACATGTCGTGTTTGCGCAAAAATTTTAAGCGTAACTAATAAAAATTCGTAGCCCCTTCAACGCCTCTTCCGAGCGTGCTCGCGCTCGCGCCAACAGTCGCCGCCGAACCTGAAACGTTTAGCGAGTGAGCATGTATTAAAACGCACCGCTGTCCCGCCAATTTTCTTAGTTTCTTAAATTCATTGTGAGCAACATCCAACCCCAATCTGGTACAGTCAATGTTATAAAAATTACTAATCGTTTAGATTAAATACATAAGGGCTTCTTACCACCATTTTACTTCATACCATTACCATAGAATTTTCAACAAAATAATAACTTCTACATTTGACTTTCAGGACTTCTTGCAAGACCTAGTAAATGAAGCCGGAGACCTTCAGAAGACGGTCAGGAAGAATGAAGGACCTATAGGCAAGAGGACCAGCGAGGTAAGTCGAGAAGTTTTTCAGTTGAATTTAGGTTATGACTTCAATTCAATTAAGTCCATAGCTACTGTCTCTGAAGAATATCAATTTTTATTTACTTACCAGCATAAACTTGGCTGACTGCTCATATTGTTTGTTTGTACAGGACATCACTATGCTCTGCAGCAAGATTAGCGAGGATGCGTCGAAGTTGTTGAACCCGAACGATAACTTCGGTCAGAGTGTCACTGTTATGAACACCGTCGATGATATCCTTGATATCGACTTGTTTGGACAGGTAAGAACTACTTAAATTTTTGTTATCTAAGTTACTTATCAATATCAACTGACAACCTATAACATAACATAAGAGATCATCTCTACATAAGAGATGTTTGCAATAGTCTCCACACCTCCACTCCACTCCACCCTTATGAGCACACACGCAAATATGCAGTCCCTTGATTAAGTTTTAGGACACCGTCTTACGGCTTCTACGTACTGATTCTATTTGCAGGAGTGTGATACTTTGGTAAAGGAGATAAACAACTCGATTCAAGGCGTCCAGGATCAAAAGACTAAACAGGAGCTCCTGGCCAAGTCACTGCCGATGTTGGAGAGCTGCCATTTGCTAAGGTAACGTATTCCTTAATAGGAATAGATTAGGGTATTTTTCACCCTGATAATGTGAGCAAAATTGGTAGCAGAAGTCAAGTAATAATAATTTTTCTTTTACCGAATAGATTCGCTGCAAAGAGTCATATAATGGCGACCCAGAGCACAGCATATAACGAGATTATGCAAAACCTGGACCACTTCAAGAGTACCACGATGAGCACGTTGGCTGAGGAAGCTGCCAAAAAGAGCGTCAAGCAAACCAAGGTACTCCAAATTACTTTTTGTAAAGATGAACCAAGAATACACGAAGGGAGAATTATTTTTACTGCTGAACAAAGCAAACTATGGCTAGTCAAAGTCAAAGTAAAAGCGTTTATTGCAATTAGACCTTAATTCGGCATTTTTGGAACGTCAAAAATTGAACTGTCCCTCTGTCTGTCTATCAGTGAAGCTAGGCGCTCGTTCCCATGTGTAGTTTCAAATGTTATTCATATGTATATCTTTATTTGCATTCCATAATGTTTCATAAGACGTTACATTGACTTAAAGCTAGGACACAATTATGATGTCAGTGAACTTAGCTGATCATTGTCCAGCAGATCAAAAATAAATGAGAGTTCTCATTGCATGCAGCTAAGTTCTATAGTTCCTGACACCTTTTAGAAATAGTTCCGGCGTTTTTACCTTAAAAAAAGACAATTAAAAAAATGATCTGCCAACTTCCGGCAGCAGATCAATTTCTAGCAGATCATAAATAAACGTCAGTTCTTACTACATATAAGTTAGTTCTACAGTTCCTGATAATTTTTAGAAATAGTTCTGGCGATTTAACCTTAAAAAATTCAATTGAAAAAAAAAATCCATCATACCAATTTCAGCACTTCAAATGATATTGTAAAGGGCTACAACTGGCCCAATCCCTAGAATTCTTTTGTTTCTCACAGAGTCGTATCAGAACTACAATTTGAAACTCTAATCGAGTCCAGAACTCCCTTTAATGTGCCAGCAGAGCATGTCTGAAAGTGCAAAAAATCGAAATTTATCAATTTCAGCACTTCAAATGATATTGCACAGGGCTAGAACGGTTCCAATCCCTAGAACTCTCTAGTTTCTTACAGACTTAAATCAGACCTACAACCTAAAACTCTAATTGAGTCCAGAACTCACGTTAAAGTGCCAGCAGAGCATGCCTGAAAGTGCAAAAAGTCGAAATTTATCAATTTCAGCACTTCAAATGATATTGCACAGGGCTAGAACGGTTCCAATCCCTAGAACTCTCTAGTTTCTTACAGACTTAAATCAGACCTACAACCTAAAACTCTAATTGAGTCCAGAACTCACGTTAAAGTGCCAGCAGAGCATGCCTGAAAGTGCAAAAA